TTCTATCATAAACCAAGATTGGGTATGTGAATTGAATATAGTTTATTGATTACCGTTTTGTACGAGTTAGTCTATTTTAATTAAGTTAATAATTTTTTATGTCGTTATTTATGTAGGAGCGCGGTCCAATTGATCGACGATCACCTTTTCCCTGGATATCACATCCGTCGAGGGGATCACATTCGCCGATGAGATTTTCTTCTCTCCCATCCACATATCTTCCCCGTGGATATCTTATACACAAAGTTATTATTTCAATGATCTGTATGTTCGTCTAACTAGATTTATGGTGGAGGAGATAGATGCATTAAAACAAGAATTGAGAGAGGAGGTGGACTGCTCTACGAGAGAAAGTAGGGGCGCTACGACGAGAGTTGAGAGGCGTGGTAACTGATTCATGTCATGATGTTGGAGTGTTACGAGGTCATTTAGTAGAATTTCAGGATGAGGTAGTATCGCTTCGAGGCCATATAGCAGGCAGACGATAGGGTGACAGACAGGATGACGGAGAGGGTGGTCACCCATAGTTGTAGACAGATGATGGTGATTTTTGTTATCATTGGAGCGGGAGGGGATGGCCCCGATGGGCACAAGAGAGGTAGTGGTCCCCAGGACGGAGGGGTGGCCTCAATGATGGAGGAGGTAGCAAGCCTCGAGGTGTAGGAGGTGGTGGAGGTCCCTAGGAGAGAGGGGATGCCGGATGAGGAGAGGATGCCGGCTGTGACAAAGGGTAAGAAGGGTGCTGTTGACGTGCCAGAACAGGTTGATAAGAGGTTGATATTTCCATCACAGTACGTCGTTTCTCCCTTCATGGGTAAGGTAAAGAGGAGGACGTTCGTCAACGAGACGTATCCCAATTTCTTCCGAGAGGTGGACAATGCCAAGCAGAAAGCGTTTGAGACAGACTAGAGAAGAATTATGCTACGGTAAGTATTTTATAATTTTAGTAAATTACGTTACGCTAACTCATTTATACCCCTTTTAACATTTTTTCCTTTTTCTTTTTTCCAAGCTAGCCACACGTAGCTAAAAGGACGATCTCGGAGGCTTATAAGTGGTTTCATGACATCACGACTTCGGGAGCTTGGCTCGCTAACGATGTAAGTGTAATATTACAATTGTTATTTATTATGTATACATAATTTTTTATTTATTAAATGAAATAACTCAATTTTTTTATTGGTGTTCCCTATTGCAAAACATCAACCTAGTTAAGGACCTGTTGCGTGATTGGACTCAAAGATATTTGAGATCGTTTGACATTCTTGGTCGAGTCACACTGAACATCGAGTTCCTACGTACCGTTATCATTGAGTATTAGTCACTTCAATTTATGGGTAATGAGTACACAATGTTTGAATATATGCTCAAGTGGGTCATAGGGATGTGGCCAAATGTCGGGGGAAAAGCCATAGAGGGTTGTACACATATGTACATTCTAGTGATTGCGAGGCATCACTGTTTTATTGTGGAGTTCGTCTTTGCCGATTTCACTATATATGTGTATAACTCCGATCATTGCTATTTGACATGGGGTCAGCTCAAGCTTAACTTGGAATCGGTGGCTGTGATCGTTTCTTTGATGGTTAGACGAGTAGAGGTGATTGTGTAGAACATACTAGCCATCATACAAGACACGACGACAGCGAGTCCATTAAATCCTTCGATGCATATTCATTGGACTTCCAAGCCTTCGGTAGCTCATGACCACTCCATACTTTCGATGGACGTCATTAGTGATGTCCAAAGGTCTGTAAATCGTCTGTGGGTCCTGATACTTATGAATTATATGTCGACCAATAAACCATACTCAAGCTTGCATGTAATCATTTTGACTAATTCCCACTATGCAAGTATGTTCCTGTTTATACTTGTGAACTACAAATAACTCATTCGTATCCATCTTCATTGCTCGCAAACGCCAACTGCGACTATCGTCGATGCATATAATTATCATCAATGACTTGTTTGATTTCTTCACTTTGAACTCAAAGTTTTATTTCGGTACGATGCACTGCTTCCTACAATTCTTTCTTTATTTGAAACAGTTGCTCGACATGAAAATCCTCATAATCAGGAACCGGACGTAAAGAATTAAATAACAATCCACCCATGAGCTCCCACCCCACTCATGTATCTAACAGGATAAATCAATCAAATTCTCATTTGTAAATTCATTTTCATTCATGTTGTCGTGAATTACTGACATAATTATTTGCGTAACAACGAGATCACGATAAGGAACAATTGTCTCGATAATAACCACATCATTCTCACTAGCTATCTCCACTATGTTTAAAAAACATTAGTATTATGACTCCCTCCATCCGAATTTTCATGTTCATCTTTGACAATATTCTTCCTCACTAAAATCACGTAAAAAGGAGTCATGTGCATTTTGTTTAATTCAAATAGATAATTCACGTCAACATCAGAAGTAACGTTCATATGTGGAATCAGAATGGATCAATGCTCGTTGAATTGAAGTCTTAGTTCCATATCATATGGAGAGGTATAGTTCCGCATATGATGTATATGAAAATTGGATCACTCTTTCATTTTCATACCCATTGATCTTTTTCATCCAATTTTAAATCACCAAAGTAACAAATCGAAATTACAGTCATATCTGCATGACGAAACAAAATTCTTAATTATATAAAAAAAAGGTCAGAAAATCAGCTCATCCATTGGGCAACAGAATTTTTAATTCAAAAAAAAAAAAAGTCGAACCAACTGTTAATAGTTGGTTACCTGAGGCTATTGGCAGCCAGATGTTAAATACATTGTCATGAAAATATATGCATTTTTTTCTTGTTTATGATTAAAAAAATTATAGATCTATTAAAAAATTTATCTACATGTTAATTTATGTCAAAATAAGATTTATCGATTAAAAAATATACTAATTTAACGAAAACGAAAATAAAGATACGTAAATATACTTACCAATTCGAAATGATAGATATAAAAAAATATCTTCTTATTCAACGTTTGATAAATTTCTGAGATTTTGAGATTGAAACATATGAAAAATGGTAGAGTTTTTATCTGCATTGGAATAAATAGATAAAAAAAGTTAGTTGATTATGAAATTTTATGTGAAAAGTGTTTGATTTTTACTTGTTAACTAAAATAATAGTATTGTTTTTTAAACAAAACAATATTTTGTAATTGTATAACATATTTAAGGATATCTTTGTCTTTTAACGTCCAAAAGTTATTATGGAAATATGCTGAAAATTCAAAATTAAAATTATGGGCTTGATCCCGACGAGATCAGTGTTATAAAATACAAGTTCGACCTTTTGCTAATTTGCTTTCTACACGTGGAATAAGACCAAGAACTCCACAATTAAACTAGAAATTCACATAATTCATGAAACAAATTCAGACATGAATTGTCCCCACACTTGAGTGGATCATCACAATACTTTTAAGTTTTAGCTCAATAAAAGCATGTTTCTCCTTTGTTTCCTTTTAATCGTCTTCCTCTTTCTATCACCCCCATCTGACTTCTGTTAATGCCTCCTCACGTTGTCCAAGCAAAATCCTATGAAGGATTTAAAAAAAAAAAAAAATGAAAAGAGAGAGAATAAAAAACACACTTTTTCTCTCTCTAAAAAAAAGTATTCAACTATATATCCATTATCACCAAAAAAAAAAATAGATAAATAAAAATACGTTGTTCATCGTACTAGGTATGTTGTAATTATGATAGGTACGCACTAAATATATTATATGATTATCAGACCCTATCCGATCATCAACTCAGTCAAAGCATCGGATCGCATGATCAATGGTTTAACCTACGAATCATTGGTTTAATCGACGTGTCATTATCACGTCGAAAATTAAAACAAAACAATTTTTGTATCAAAAAAATTCTTTTAGCATTTAAACATTTACAAGTACTCAAATGTTCTCTTTTATTTTAGTCGCTATTTTGCCAACAAACAGATGAAGCCTAGTCGAAGTAGGCTTCCTCCATCAACTATGAGGTCATGAATTCGAGACACGGGCCCTTCATTGGCTAATTTTGCGAGTTACGATTCGACCAGTTAGATAGAATCGCCCGTTTCTACGAGTCTCAAATGGTTTAATTGTTAATTGATCCAAGTGTGCTAATTGGACCCGACCATGCTCTAATTTACTAATTTCCTGATCGAGCCATTGGTCTGATTCGAATTTAATAACTATGATTGTAAGTGTTGATAATTTTTAGTGCTTAAGTGTAACTATTACAAAAAGGATAACTAGTCGACTTATCGTTCATCCCAATAATTGGTCCTTCATCAAGAAAATGATTTTCCGGGTTCAAGTTTAACCTCTTGATAGTCCTATACGTTAATTCGAGGTAAAATAGACGCAATACGCTTAACAAAAAGAGAGACAATATATATTACATTTAATAATCTAAAAAAAAAAATTTGGAATAAAATATATCCTTCATGTTTATATAAGTGTCACCAATAATTGCATCCATTTCTCAAGTGAGCTGTCTTTCCACAAACCTTGTACATTTTCACCATATCTAGGGTTTAAATTAAGAATTAAGTTGTGTGTACATAATGCCGCCCCCCCCCCCCCCCCCCCCCTCCTTTGAAATATTCAAGAAGAATAATGAACCAACGAACACGTTTCTTAATGAAAAGAATGGGTGTCGGTTTTGTATATAGTAAATTTATTGTGGAGAATGGAAGGTCAATAAAGAAAGGAGTTAATGTTGTCATCTCTTTCTTTGAAAGAAATATGCGACTTTTGCATTTATTATACTCGTCAACAATTTCTCTCTCTTTCTGGTCTCTGTTGCTGCCTTTCTTTAACCAGTCCTAGTCCACGCCCGCCATTGCATATATTCATTTGATCATTTCCCTTTTCTTACAAATCCAGGTTTAAACACAAATATTTCCTCAAACAAGAAGAAGAAGAAGAAGAAGAAGAGGAATTAGACGGGAAAATCAAGAGGTAAGATATATATAGAGAATTTAAAGATCAGCATGATTGGATGGTTACGTGTAACCCTGGCGGCGGCTGGTTCTGGAATTCTTGTTCTTGTATTTGTCTTGATCATCAAGCGATTCTGTTGTCGACAGAAAGGGCGTAAAGGTTCTGTACAGGCTAGTGGGGATAGAGTTGAGAATTTGCAGAATGGAATAGCCAGGCTTCATCAAGTGAGTCTTCATCATGTTGATGGGGATGGAAGCAAGAAAACAAATTATTATGTTTTTCGACGTGGGATATCTTCTGGAAAGCCTTTTTTCAGCTGGGGTGATCACCCTTCCCTTGTCACTGATGCTGTTGAGAATGGATGGTCAAGATTTTCTTTCACAACTTTCACGTCATCTCCCTCGGTTAAATCTGCCAAGTCCCTTTTAGGCGTGTGTGCAACTGGTGATCATGAAAATGAAATTCCTGTTGAAATCGGATGGGAAATTTGTGAAGGATCAGCAGATTTCATGCAGAAAATCAGATTGAATCCCGTGTTGAAGAAACTTAATAACTCAAACATTAATTCTCCTACAGGGGCTATATCTGTTATCAGAACAGCTTTACCTTTGCCAGGTCCACATTTGGGGAATTCATCTTTCCCACAAGAAGCCTATTTTGAGATCACAATTTTGTCTTCTACAGAAAACAGTCTGAATCTTGAAGACAACAAATCCGAAGACGAGAAGATTAAGCTTATTCACGAGGATTTTAACGCGAAAATTAGTCCGGATTCTTTACCACAAGTTACAAGTACTAATCATAGTCAGCGCAAGAACAGAAATGAAGAATCGAAGATTGCTATAAAAGATGGAAAAAATGAAGCAATTTTGCTATCTGTTGGGCTAACAGGAGGAGGCCCTCTTCCTCTAAAAGTTCCAGGCAGCTATCCAGGATCAATTGGTTTCAACTCCACTGGTTCTGTCTATCTTGATGGTAAGTTTTTGATCTGTTTGTCATTTTTATTCACAGTAGTAAGCATTTAAGAATCAAAATATGCACTTAATGTTCGTCGAATTAGTGGGCATTTTGTGTTATGGGATAAACAGTCAACGCACCGCCAATCCTTCCACCACTTGCCACTGCAATAGGCGCATGACTATTCACAGAAAGCAACATTTTACTTTCCAAAATTGTGGAATAGGAATGCATCATCTTATTCCTTTCTTTTTGAGAAATGAGATGGTCCACAATGGCCGGCGAACCAGATAATTGCCTAGTTAATAATTATACAATTATAAATGTTGACACGACATTATTTTCTGTGACCTAATACACATAATTTTTCTATATTACAAATAGTTCTCAAAAGTTAGGTATTTGAGATTAATTACTTGATATTAATACAGGAATTAAACTAGTATTCGAATCCGAAAACGAAGATTGGGAAAGAGCAGACAGGGTGATAGGCTGCGGGTACAATCCAAGCCAGAAAAGAGTCTTCTTCACAGTTGATTCACAACTTGTACATGAAATCCACTGCAAGTCTGAGGGATTTGCCTTTCCACTTTATCCAACATTGGCAGCAAATACAGATATTGTCGTTCTAGTTAATCTTGGACAAAGCCTTTTCAAATATGCACCTGCAAATCTACAAAGAACTGCAAATCCATGTTTCATTGGCCCTATGGCAAATTCTCCTGCCCTGGGATATGAAGATAGCAAGGAGCTTTTTTCTATGGGACGAATCGATTCCTTGTACCTACAACGAAGTGCCACCAGAAGCAACAATAATACAGTAAATAGTATCAAAGCAATGGAATATGATCAGGAGTCTGAAGGGGATTTGTTTGAAATTGTCTTGGATAGTACTGGAAGATCACCATACACTTATCAATAGTTGGGAAAAATCCTACCACCAGTGAATACATTGCCAAAAAGAAAGAAAGAAAGAAAGAAAAACTGCAAGGGAAATTCGATTTTTCGTGTTTGCAGGCATGGAAAGTAGCCTCCCAATTTGTGACAATGTGCAGAAGAAAACAAAAGACAGATTGATTTTCCTACAGGCAGAAATTTTGGTATCATAACTTGCTACCTGCTTCATAATTTTCTTTCCTTTTTTGGTTTGTTATTAGTAAGAGGAATTAATTTCCTGTGTAAATAGCAGCAAAATACAAAGCACATTTACTAGTTTGCTGGCAAGTAAATCAGCAATATTTAGAGTATGGGAAGTGTCCAGGGAAACAACTAATGACTAATCAGACTTCTCATAAAGTATTCTATATATGTTGTCTTCCATTGTTCTGCAGCAAAATATGTTCATATTTTACAGAAATTGTGATATTCGGAAGGGTAGGCAGGCTTCTAAATTATGCGCTTCATAAATGTTTAAAAGAACTTTGAGTGAAATTTTTTATTTCCTTGATAATAACTGATGCTGTCCGAAAACCAGGTTGCCATTAGGCCTGCTGGAGGCGAGCTCCTCTGTTGCTCTGATGACCTGAAAAAGGTGGCTTTCTCTTCTATTTTCATTTAGACGATGAAGTTAGAATTTTAAAACAGAAAAGCTAGATATATGTGGAGAACTACAAGGATGGCACGAAAAAAATATGGCTATTTATAGATCGACTCCTAGGGTAACATGTCCAATAGTTTGTTATGTACAGAGACGTGTCAGGGTACAGATTTCCTTTGGCATACTAGCCATTAGAGTAATTCTCATGATATTTTTTGTACAGCCGTCGAGGGTACAATAGTGGATGCCCATAGTTGAAACTCGACTAACCTAGAGACTACACTGAACTCAATTACATAAGCTGCAATTTTGGACTCAGGTTTAGTTCGGCGCTCAACCATTATTAGCTTCGTGCACTAATCGAGATTAATGTAATACAACCCTTATAAACTATTGCTCAACGCCTTCAACAAATGTGTTAGTTAATAGCCGTATGAGCGACTGGTAATTGGTGTTTATAAGGTATTCTAAGTCGAGTGGCACAGATAACAAATTTCTACGATTCCAAATATGGAAGAAATAAAAGTAGTTGGCCATCATTCCCAACCTGATGCCGAAACTTTAGTGCTTCAAGAGGGACTAGTCTTCATAAGGGAGATGGGATTTCAAATTCGATCGGTGGAGAGTGATTCACTTCAACACATCCGAAGTCTAAAAAGAGATGAATAATCTCAGATCAATCTCTATTTGGCCAAGTTTCTCAATATACACGGTAAATAAATACAGAGCTATAATTCTCCATGTCGTAGCCCCCTCCTAGTCTTGAGTTCAGGGACGGGACTACCATTCCACAAAACGGATGTTTTACGCTAAAGAAATCGTAATAGTATGAAATCGTTGACATGGTACTTGAACAAATAAATTAATGAAAAGTAACACACCAAATGTCAGTCCCGGAGAGTTGTATTTTGCATAACATGGAAGCACGAAAACATGTTAATAATTGACAAGCAAGAAAGATTAAGAAGATTCTGGTGAGGTGTCAAATCTTTCTCAGTTGGTCAGTATGCATGAACCTGATCGAGTTTGGTGAACTTTGATACCCCCAAAGTAAAGCACGTATTGGGAATCAAATGTTGACCTTCAAAGTAGTATTTAAAACCAAGAACTTGAGATTATTTTATTTAAGATACTTCAAGTGATAGGTATCTTCATATGCAAGAGAACATCTGCTGTGAGACAAGTTGAATGCAGAGATGAATCTCATACAACAGAAGTCGATGGTGGAATCTAATTACCAGAGAACATCAACACATGTATCCAATAATATGATGAAATCATTTTGGTAGGACAGTTGATTTGTAGCAATTATTGTGTTGCCACATTGGTTAGTGTTAGATTTTTAGTATTGGCAAGTCCGTGGACAAATGATTAATTCGTAACGTGTTGTAAAAGTCAAGGACTTAGGGTGCAATTTGTATAAATTAGGTAAGTTAGGGTTTGAGTTCTTGAAAGAGGCCAAGATGTCCAAGAAAGTCACACATGATCAAATGAATGAAAATTAGAAGACTAAAGAATATCAAATAGCCGTAAAAGTTATCTTCCAAATTCTTAATTGCAACTTGCAATGCATTTTTCACACAAAAAACATTGGAATTTGGATAAGGTTATTTCTAGAAGAATTGTATCCCTTCAAGTTAGATTTCCAACGAAATTTGAATTTTCGCAATCGGATATCGGTAGAGAAAGTTATGATAAAAATACTAACGACTGCTCAACTGCCACTTGACTTCTCGCTTGAGAGACCAAAGCAGCAACATTTTCGCCCGACCTTCGCCGATAGCTCGCTCGAGCGACCTTCCTGTGCGGGTAAACCTAATTTGAGATTTTGGAGAGTTTAGACGGCCCATACCACTCAAACACCTCCAACTATAAATACAAAGGCTTTGGATGACCTTTGTAGGGTTGCTACATTGTGCCTCTCTTGCATATCATATTCTCTACATCTTTAAGAGATCCAAGAAGCTATTCTTTGATTGATTCATCCATATTCATTCTTGAGATTCAACAACCCGATTTTGGAAAAAATCAAAGGTTCCATAATTCAAAACACCGGCGTCCTTAATCTTTTAAGGAATTGACTCTTTCATTAAGATTTGGAAGAGGTGAAGTGCAAGTACAAGAAAAGCACAAGAATTGGAGATTCTTGGAATTCCACTTAGAAGAGACAATATAAGAAGATCTGGAGACTGAAAAGTACAGCAGATCAGGAAGTTATAGGATGTAGATCGGGAAGTCTAGCAGGGTGGTTAGATAGTATCTACGGTCGCAAGTCTTGAGTCTGGAAGGAACAATAAATTTTGGAGATTGCAGGATTACAATAGCGGGAACGAGTGAAGTTTGCTAGCTGGAAACATACTGTAATCCATATTGTCTATAGTGGGGGTAACTAGCTTGATCTCAGAGTTTTTTCTAGTTGAGTTTCTCCGTCATCATATTAGTGTTCTTTATTTACTACTTTCATATTTATTGTTTATTATACAAATTACGGTATACAAAGATAGAATAATTTGAATTGTCTGACTAATCACCTAGATATAATTAACTTGTGATTTGTTGCTTGTTAATTAAAGTTTTAATTCCGCATGTACACTTAATCACCCTCCTCTAGGTGTAGTAGGGTCGAATCTTGCGTTTCTCAATTAGGATTGTGCTCACATAGCGGGGTTTGAAGGTATATATCACCTCTCAAGGCCACGTCCCGCTCGCGCTCGGGCTCGGGCTCGGGCTCGGGCTCGGGCTCGGGCTTGAGTTCCTGAGATTCGTTTCTCGATCAAGCTTATGTAATATCAATTGGCATTTTCTAAAGGAATTGACATCTATCATCCAGAAGCACTAGGATATTTGACTTGGAGTGACTTAGATACTAGATTATTCCGACCAATTTTATGGGATTGGCTTTTTTTTAAAATTGGTCGAGTATTCTTGAACTCAAATTTTGCCCCAATTTTGATAGAATAATAAACTCAAATATTACTAATTAGCGCCTTGAGATCATTTTTGGATTTGCGGCTTGATTGAAGATCCTTAGATTTTCGAATTNTTGCGGCTTGATTGAAGATCCTTAGATTTTCGAATTCAAGAATAGGATTTGGTTTTCGACCACACTTAGCAACCATTATTCCCTCCTTCTAATTAGCATTGCCAACATTTTTGGTAAGTAGACAGTATTAAACAAGATTTTAACTTAATTTTATCCGTTACCATATATTAAACATACACATACTTGGCACAAAATACAAGAACTTATTCGACGATACTTTGAAACAAATGTTCTTTATTTTCTTATTTTATATTTTACCAAACATGTTATAGGGTTTCTGTATTCCTACTACTCAGTATTAAAAAAATTATTACTTTTTGTTCTTATCCAATAAGTAAGCGTTTACCATATATTTGAAGTCTTCAACCAATCACATGAAAAATACAAGTTGGAAATTAACCAAAATATAGACGCTCCTTCTCATACTCTCACAATGAAATCATAAGACATTAGCTGCCAATAACCAAATGTAAATCCTAAGCATGCCAAGGTTACTTACCTAACATTAGACTTGAGGTTCCGCGTCTTGTACTCGTCAAGTTGTTGCATATGTCTGGTCTTATTCCTCAGATTTCACCCTTGTTTGGACGTAATGTTTAGATTAGTGTTTATGCAATATTAATTTACGCATTGAATTTTTTAAGTAAAGTTTGTGAATCTATTTGCATCTCTATCATTTTATCTCACGCAACACAGTTGTCTCCAAGAATTATTGTTCACGTCAGTCGTTCCCAAAAGCAAATGGAATAAGTCATTTTAAAAGAATTTTTGCCCACGGCGAATGCAGTGTTGACAATAAATGATTGGGTGAAAAAAAAAAAGAGCCCTCTTTAAATAATCCACTAACAGAATGACATGTAGTCACAAAATCTGTTGAATTCGAAAACAATCATTCTACTTGTACAGATATTTTGTACAGATAGGTTGACATATGCATGTCCCTTAACTTATCTGTACAAAAATTCTATACATGTAGCAGAATTCAAAAACATTTAAGCATAAAGTTAAAATAAGGTATTTAATCAGTATAGTTCCTTTTATTATTCTATGATAATGGTACACGTGATAAGATACAACTGAATATTTGCACACAACAAGATACCTATTCCAATGGTTGGCAATCCTCGCGCCTCAGACGCTAAGTGCATTCCTCAAATAAAAGGGGATACATCCTCGAAAGTTGTCATCATATGCATATGCAAATTACACCACAAACATTGCACGCATTTCAATGTGAGAAAATAGTACGTACAGGCATTACATTCAAGAACCTAATTGAAGTCAGATTTTGCAACACCAGAATGCACAGTGTTCCTCTTTGCGATTATTGCTAACAAGACCCCCACATTGTAAGCAGACAAAGCTGCTTCCATCTGAGAATGCATCAAGCACGATTTGCTTCCTGCCACTCTCAGAAAGTATAGAAGTTCCCTGAACGTCTGGTTCAATGGATTGAGCAATAACATGGTGCTGAGATGATTCATATTGTGATGGCATGGCCTCTGCAATTGCACATTCAGCAAACAACGAAGCCAGCTCATCAGCAGCAGCACTAGCTTGAACTTTGTTTCTGTAGAGCTCTCGAGCACGGTTAAGAGCTTGAGAAACAGCTTCATCCCCACCTTGTAATCTCATTGCCATCACCACCTGTAAAGTAAATCATACATGGAAATGCTTCAGCCTTCAAGAATAATGCAGCAAGTTGATATTGCGAATTATCACATTCATTTTACATCAAGTTGATATTCCTAATCTTTCAGATATAAAGAACATATGTTAATAAGTATGTTATTCTGTAAGCACTTGTCACAGAGAATATGAAGAGGCTGAAATGCATAAAAACAAACATAATCCCACAGTCAAAACCATAGAAAGATGACCAGCACAACCGAACAAATGCTAGCTTCCTTTCCAAGTCATGTCAGAAAGATGACCCTATAGTTCCCACTTCAAATAGCCAGAGACGTTGTAGTAGATTCGACGATGGAAAAATTGACGTTGAAGGGGAGCAAAAGGTGAAAACGGAACAATATATCAGTAGAATCAGAATGAACAATGGAAGAATATTTGGATACTTGTGTACTGATTGGGGGTCTACCACAATTCCTACCCATTGATCCCCAAAATGATGGCCCGGTCGCATTGTGGTCAACTCGAAGCATGAATTACGTTTATGAATTTGAGTTTTCAATTTCAAAAACATCTAAATTGCAATATTTGGCTCAACGTACTAACATCTTCAACTAATCATCAAAATGATTAAATAAAGTGGGATGAAATATCACTTCTTAAAATGTTCCAGTCGACTAGAAAAGTCTTACCTACCCATGGCCGTACTTTGGAAAATGAGAAGAGTTCACTTCATCACTCGGATTTCTTCCATCTCATGGGTTAAGTTTGGATCCTCCTTTTCTCCCAAAAAAGGAAGAAGGATATTCTGCAGTGGATCCATCTAGTTCCAGTCACTTTCTATACAATATCCTTGACCCGGGCAATAAGAGTGACAAATCTCCTAATTGGTACTATATTGCAGAGTTAAAAAGTTAGATATTTGTTCTTAAGAAACGAAGTTCCTACCGCTTTTCTAATTGTCATTTACAAGAGTCTTGTTATATTGATTCATTCTCTTCCATTAATAGATAAGCTATTAATATTGAATACAAAGTTCTTGAAATTTCCTCCAATTCTTTTTTCTTCTTGTCCCTTGTCTCCCTAGTACTCTTTCCCCCCTCCTTTCTTCTCTACCTTCTTTATTCTCTATACACTGTTGCATCAGTATTTCTTGTTTATTTTACCATATAACGTAATGGAAATCAGAAAGCCACTGCGCAATACGTTTGGCAAAGCTCATAAGTGCATAAGATGGTCAAAATCTATTTTTATACACATTTAGCAAGACCTACAAGTTTTACCTACTTTTTAACTACACATTTTGGGAACCACCACTTATAAGCAAATTTTAGCTCAACGGAGAATTCATTTGAAAAATAACTCCAACTTTTTTAAAAAATTGATAATGACTGTAACATATGTGTTGCTCCATGTCATTATATTTATCAACATGTTCCGCCATGTTGATTTGAGACTCGTGGGGGTTATAATTAAATGAAGATACAATTTTATGCAGTAAAATACAGTTGGTATTTTTATCTGCCATATTAACCTCTACTTTCCTACCTATGTAATAAGAATACAACCAGTCTCATTAGATTATGTGATGAATTTAACCATCTACAATACAACATTACTAAAAAATATAATTTTACTATATTTTTTAAGGATCCTGACATTTCCATTCAAACATCCACCACCACGCCTTTTGAGGGAGATTCTCTATTTAATGTTAAATTTACCCTTTGGCTATGACATTTTACAGAATCTCAGGAAATGTCAATCATTCAACTTGAGAAGAGTCCTCATATAATTTAAAGAAAGTTTGAATGCGGTAATTTATATGCTTCTCAATCCTTAATATCATTAATTGTAGTAAATTCACCAGTCCTGTGCAAACTATTGGATAAACTCTTCTTCTTTGTTATACTATTATCCCTGGACATTTTCAAAGTTGAGTTGCTATCCCACCCCCTACCCCATTCTGCATTGTTCTTTTTATTGGCAATAGTTTCAGAAACTCATTACCAGCTGTTGTTCAAATGGACTCTCCATCATCAGATCAGAAACCACCTGCCCAGAACAGTGTGATTTAATCGGAGCCACTAACAGATCTTATCAAGGATATGAAATGTGAGTGTTGTATTATATCAGTTAAGAATAAACTGCAGACTGTTGATGGTGTTAAAAATGTCAATATGGACTTGAGCAATCAAGTTGTAAAAGTTCATGTGAGATTGCAAGTAATGATCAACCTTTGCTGAAGCTTTAAAAGAAAATTCGTTCAAAAGCCGGATTAATTTGGCAAGCCGTGACTTAGGATTTCCTAGTCTCGATGGTTGCTGAATTTCAAGGTCCAACTATTTTTGTAGTAGTTCACTTAGATATTTTTTTGTTATGTATCAACAATGCTAGCTATTAACCTTTTGTGCACTTGGTTTACTTCACAAGGAAACCTTGATCATTCACCTCATCGAATGGCTTATGAACTTCATCAAATCAGTGTGAAGTCATTCTTCTTTTCCACAGATGTTGCCCTACCAAGCCATGAGCCTTGATTTTCGGCTTTCCTCTCGTATATAGCAGACTGTGACTTGACTTTTCAAATCGTGCTCATCTTGGGCAATATTCGTGCATTTTTAACATTTTAGAAACATTGGACTCGGAAACACAATATTCGTGCATTTTTAACATTTTGCTATCGGGGACCTCATGCAATCAACCATAACCTTTAAGTCTCACACCTTTAATCATGCAATTTAGCGGCCAGAACCCCACGAACAACAGGATTGCTTTGTTGCCTTATTCACCTGAGAAAAGATAGATCATCGCATATGCAACACAAATCATCTTCATTTCTCTTTCTAACACCTTCTTTCTCCAATGATCAACGATTCCCCCTCTAAAGCCAACACATCTATTCTTCTCACAAGCCTTAGTTTTATTACCTTCACTTTCAATGAAAACTTTGGAGTTTCATATTTCTCGGTAGTACATAGTACCTCATCCACAAAGAAAATCGAAAAACTTATGTCCCTAAACTATAATTCTCTTTCTCCCTTCATAGTGTTTGTTTTTATTTTTACATTATCTATTTTTCTTTCACTCATTTACTGGCTAGGTAATAATGTGCTTGTACGGATTCAAATTTTGAGTATGACAATGCATAGGGTATTTAACAGGGAGAATCAAGAGTTACAACTAGTGGAACTTGTAATTAAAATGCAAAGATTGACGACAATTGACACAATTTCAATACAAAAAAGGAGGATCGCATTTTACCTTAGGAAATAATAAACGTAAACCATAATTATATAACAACAACAAATTATCAGAATTTTAAAGAATTAACTTAAGTAAGATAACTAAAAATTACCGCTTGAAGAGACTGAGAAGGCTTATTTTGATCGATGAGTTGCCTAGCCATTATCAGCAAATTCCGAACAGCTTCTGTCTGGTCCGCATTTAACGCCACCGGTTGCGGCTGAGCGTTTGCCTCCGTTTCCATCATATCGACGTCCATACCTGTCATGGCATTTTTCAGTTTTCGATTTCAAGCTTTTATTTATTATTCTCTCTATACATAAATCACTAGGTTTTAGTTTATATTACAAATTGAGGACGGCTCTGATTAGAACCAGATACTTCTAGCAAATTCTCTTTGTTCCTTGAATTCCTTCGTAGAAATTTTTTTTTTTTTGGGAAAAATTTCAGATATGGTTCCTCAATTTTGATAAATAGAACACATTAGTCCACAATTTATATTTTTGGCGTTCAAGCCCTAATACTTTCAATTTCAGTGCACTTTGATCCTTACTAGTGGAGATTGGTAACTTTTTCTGTCAAAACAGTCCCATTGCACACTTTCTTTTCTTTATTTCGCTTTATTCTATACACAATCATATACAAATAGTATTACTCAAATAAATAATTGAATAAGCACTTTTTTTTAAAAAAATATAAGCACTTCTAGTAAAAAATTCCAACGTACCCTTAGACCACAAATACCATCCTATAGATGATGCCTAGGTCTGAAAGACATAGACGTACATTTTTTTTCATAAATTGCAATTTTAATCCCTACACTTTCAAAAGTTACAAACTAAGCCATATTAATTTTATAAGCCACTAACTTCTATGTTTTTTCGTTAAATTCTCTTATAAAGTCATAATTGAAACTCAAAATTGAGATAAAAAATAAAAAATTTGTGAAATTATACAAAAATAAAAAATAAAAAAATTTAAAGTTATCGTAATTAATTACAATGGTTTGGTTTAACAAAATTGAGACATGTTGGCATATTGTGACATTACATAGATAATGTTGAGCTTAGGGCTCGTGTTGGTAGACTTGATCATTATTTCACCAAGCCAGAGAGATGGAGCTGCTAAAAGGATGTGTAAGGTTCAAAAAGCATCCCCTAGGAAACAAGCACACGGGGTGAATTAAGTTAATTGGACAATTAAACATGAATTTAGATATGATCGAATGTGACGACTCTAACCACCAAATCCCGGATCAATTATGGAACGTGTATGAGTCTCTCGAAATTGATGTAGAAGACAGTTGTTAGGGTATAATTTGTGGTAACGATAGTCCCTTTTAAAAAAAATGAGGATAATTCTCCATGTGCTCATTTGGATTTTTGCCTCTTCCATAAATGTTGACTATGTAAGCGAGGAGGGAACTCGTGCTGAAATTATATATAAGTTGCTTCGATGAATATATATTTGGTCACTGAAGTTTGTAACGATAACGCGGACATAAAAATATGTAGTATAGTACTGTCTGACGTAGAGCAAAGCAAATTATTGCTATCCACTCATATGCAATCCAAACTTTTCAATTTCTTAATGAGAGTAAGTACATCCACTGACATTCTAAGCCCTCACAAATTTGAGATATTTCATTCTCAGTGGGTTTGATGATTTATTTGCTTCGAAGAGCAAGTGAACTTTCCAGTAATGGGGTTGATGTCAACCACTACAGGTTCTTGGCCTATAAAGTACTAATAGTCCAATATGATATTGAATCCATTGGCAAACCGCTTTGGTCTCACGTTTCTATTCCTGAAAGTGGACTGTCTTTTTCATTTCCTGGTGGGGTGGTTGGGGTTATAAAGTCAAGAAAATTTCCCAAAATTGTGTCATGTTCGAATGTTTTCTTAATGTTTCAAATTCCATTAAAGTTGAAGTTTTGGTTTTGGCACAATTTGAGTGGCATTCGTTTGTTCATTTTGAAAGATCGAGTTGATTTTTTTCTCCTTTTTGAAAATATCGAAATCATATATTTACTTTGAAATTAGAGTTCAAAGTAGACCATTGGAAGATGTTTGCTGCAGGAAAAAAACTATTTTAATTTATCCCACCTAGAAAAATACTTATTTATATATGGTTACACTTTGGAATGGTATAATTATGTATAGCATAGAAACTCTCTCCATGTGAGCATGTAGGGGTGCAAATCACGGACCAAATTAACACTTTGAACCTTGAACTTGTGTGCTTACACGAATGTCGGATCGACAAACCAAAATTGACCCTTAAAAAGGTTGTACATAGGCTTCGGTTTGCTAGTTTCTTCCTTCTTGTCTTTTTTTTTTTTTAATATACATAATATTTCATTCTGCAATTTTGTCTAACACTGTTCTCGGCACATTAGTCCTTGTATTGTCTAGAAAATAAGGACAAAAAATATAGCAATACTGAGATATATTGAACATTATTAAAATTATTTCTGTTAAAGAGTTACATAATTAAAAATGCACTGTGAAAGTCGGAAAATATTTATGATCCTTACATAACATATGAGCTGAAAATCATTATCACAAGATTGATATGAAATTAAGAAGGTGAAGGGGCCGTATCAGCAAGAGCTTATGGAGAAGAGCTGAAGTGAGGAAGCCAACAAGGAATGTAATGATATATCCCCTTGTAGGGACAATATCTTGGGTGCAAGAAGAATATCACGCATTCCATCAATGATCTTTGAAATGGCAACCCCGGAATGCAATTTTTCCTCACGTCGAGTACTCCATTCTTGATCAGGCTCATACAAATTGGCCCAACGTGCGTAAAATAGTTATCAGACAGCGATAAATTTGTCAAACTTCCTACCGCGCATATAACCTCAGGTACCATCCCATATAACAGATTACCAGCAAAATTAAGAACCTCCAGCTTCTCAAGGCAGCCCAAGGAGAATGGTAATGGACCTGTCAATCTATTGTTCCCAGCATCGAACACCACAGCCTCTTTCAAGAACCCCAATTCATATGGCAAACATCCACTTAAAAAGTTGTTGAGCAGTAAAATTTCTGACAGGGCGGAAAATACTTTGGAAATACTATGTGGGATTGGCCCGAAAAATTTGTTGTTTGCTAAGGTGAGATAAAGAACATGGCTGCTGCCTATGTTGTCAGGGAGCCTGGTCATGAAATTGTTGTTGTTAATGAAAAGTGCATCAAGGTCCTTGGTGAACAACTGCGAGGGTACTGAACCGGTGAAAAGATTGAAACGTATGTCCAAGAAAGATAGGCTATCCATGCCTAAAATGGCAGTTGGGAAAGGCCCTGAAAACAGGTTGTTACTTATGTCGAGCTCGTATAAATAGGGGAGTTTTGCAATGTTTGGAGAGATAATCCCGGAAAATTTGTTGGAGTTGGCGTGGAAGAGGGCTATATCAGGTAGTTGATCGAGGAATCCATCGAGAGTTGGGGCGCTTAATTGGAATCCATTGAAATCAATGGAGGCCAGAGCAATAGCAGATATGTTGTCTGGAGGACTTTCACAATAAAATCCTCTGTAGTTGCATATATCTGTCCCAATCCAAGATGCAGTGATATTTAGAGGATCCGAGATGATGATGTTTTTGAATTTCTGAATGACAGTATACACCACCGCTAGTCTTTGATCAGCAAAAATCAACTCACTCACTGCTGGAGGGACTGCTGGTATTCCCGCTCCTCCACTTCCCTGGCCAGCTGTGCCAACGACAAAACAAACTAGGATTACCCCAATGATCAAAAGTTCAGTTTTCATCGAATTGCTGTTCATTGTCTTCCGTATTGACTTCATCAATTGGAAGGCATTCAAAGAAGAGGTGACAAATGAATTAGCCAAATAGAAAGGAAGCAAGAGAGACATAACAAAGGTGGGAATCATTGTTTTTTTATAGTCTGAAACTTCTTAGTGCTGCAAAGTTTCCATTATAATTTGCAATGATTTGGTATAGAATGACAGTTTGATGTAGATTAGTACACTTTTTATCAATGTAATTAGTGTATTGTGTTGAAAGCATGCATCATAACCTTAAAATTAAAGTATTAATTAGACCATTTATACCAGGCAGACTGGGTGCACTGAAAGACTAAATGTAATGAACCAAAATCAGAAATTATTAAAGACCATCAGCAAAGCAATTCAACTAACTTCACTCCTGCACAAACTCCACTATTCATCTGATTTAGTATATATAAACCATTCAAAAGGAGGGCTTGGATAATCTTTTCGATACTCTTTTTGACATATTTTTTGTCGACAAGAATCCAATTTAATTCTCTCTCTCTCTCTCTCTCTCTCTGGTGTAAAGATTGCCTTTATTATATCGCAGTACAGCTAGCATAGATTAATATGCATAATCAAGGCATCTGGGAGGGACCAGCCGCAGTTTGTGTAAACATTTGAAAATGCACAGCACTAATAAATATATTAACCAAAACAAATGACATTTTTTGTAGGAATCATGTTTCCAGGATATGCTAGGGCTAATGTTCTTTGTATATTAATAATTTTCTTTCTAGAAATCCATTGGGGACACCTCCACCAATCCAACCACCAATCCAACCATGGTTGTCTAGCATATCGCTGTGATGGCAAACCTGATGAAAATGTCACATTGCTACTCACTGTACCGCGGACAGAGATTTCCATTAAGGACATGATCTGCACAAGACTAGCCCAAGTTTCAAGCATCAGATCCACTCGATAGATGGTTGAGGATTATAGCCACTAACAATCCTCCATCGTATCTGTTACTCCTATAAATTTGTAGCATACGCTCGACGAAGAGAATCTCACATTGGCCGACTTGACTATTTGTACTTCAAAACCCGACCCGTGCATGAATGTACGACTCAGATTTGGAGGTCTATTGTTACAACTATAAATTACGTAGTATACGCTTGACGAAGAGGATTCCACATTGGCCGACTTGACTATTTATACTTCAAAGTCCGACCAGCACATGAATGTACGACTCAGACTTGGAAGACTATTGTTACACCCATATATTACGTAACATCGACTATTTAATTACAGTAGACCTATTTAATCAAGTCGGATATTTTTAGGCCTAAACTTGGGTCTGGCCCATTAGGCCCACATGCCCATTTATATTTCCTATATATATGTGATTCATTTCATAATTAAGGTATGTTATCTAACCCTAACCAACTTCTCTCTTCCTCTCTTGCACTCATATTTTCCTCGTCTGGCTGTTGACTTGACTGTCGGAGTGCAAACGGTCGTCGAGTCTTTTTTCTCAACCGACGTCCTTTACATCATTAGAATAGCGAGTTTATTTTTTATGTTTTCAATTTGTTTATTTGAATTTTTTTTTTAGAATTTTCTCATATAATTAATAGTTTAGCGAATCTCTATTATTGTTTTAGTAAGCAACTTATTTAATTTTTTTGATGATAAGAATTATTACAAAATCTTTCTTGCAGTCATGCCTATGCAAGTTTTGTGGTCAAGTCTAATGATATTTTATACTAATATTTATGATTTAACTTGTTTACTATATATTTTTTTTGTTAGCTAAATTGTGAATTTAAATCGAACAAAATAGAAAAAAAGTTGTTTGGTTTTGGTTTGATTCGAAATTTTGCCAAACCGTTTTAATAGGTTTAATTTGAAAATTTATCACTAACTATTCAAATCGGACCGTCTTCACCCCTAATTTTTGAGAAGCCGAGGCAGAAAGCGTGTTTAGCAATCCATTGATCCAAATGCGAGATTGGTTGAAAAGAGAGATAATATCGTTGGCCCCTAAAGTTCGGCTGAATTGTTGTGACGAAGCTAGCTTTTGAATAAAATTATGAATATGAATGAATTGTGGATAAGTGGGTAATAATAATTACATATTTTATGAAATGAATTAAAATTATCGTTTGACTTTGAAAAATAAATGATAATTTACTTTTAATTTTATCCATGTTTGGCTAATGTTTATAAACAGTCAAATAACTTTTCTTTTCATATATTTTGTGATATGCACAAAAAAAATTACTATTTCAAAATACATTTTTCCTTAAAAACTAATTTTAATGAAAAAACTTATTTTTCAGAAATAAATATTTATTAAACTTATACTATATCAGAAAGTTAATTATTTCATATATTTGATTTGACAGCATGATTTTTAGAATCAAACGGATTTTATAGTCAGTTCTTTTAAAGTTAAATACTATATCAGAAATTATTTATTTACTGTATTTGATGTGATAGCATGATTTCAGAATCAAACAGATTTTATAGTCATTTCTTTTAAAGTTAAATTCAGTTCATTTAATCATTTCTCCAGCATGTTGTATTCATATGGCATATTTCAATATATCTAAAGTTATTTTAAAAACCACCAGAAAGTACCCATGTGATTTTACCAATGTCTGCACTGATGTGAATGTGTTTCCACGGTGTATGACTTCTTATGGTTATTTTACCCCGATCTGCACTAGTGTGAATGTGTTTCAACAGTGTATGATCACTTATGGTGATTTTGCACGCTCTGCATTATTGTGAATGTGTTTTCATAGCGTATGACCAGATTATAGCTCTGCGCGCGTATGACCAGAATTACAGA